CACCTAGATTACATGCAGTTTTTGGATTTCATATGAAAACAAAGCCTATCTATATGAGTAGTAACCACACACACACACACACACACAAAGAGAGAGAGAGAGAGAAAGAGAGAGAGAAATAAGACCTATATTTGGTCTTAAAAGTAAAACACAAGAAAACGATATGCCTTGCTAACAGTAATCAAAATAAAGCTGAAGTGGCAATATTAATATTACATGAAATATTAGAGCAAAAATTGATACCAGAAAATATTTTCATAATAAAAACAATCAAATCACCAATAGACATAACAATTCTATTAATTTTCACATGACACTGAGCTTCAAATAAGTAAAACAAAAACTGAAATACTAGCCAAATCCAAAAATATAGTCAGAGATTTCAATAACTCTTTATCTTAATAACTGAGAGAACAAGTAGACAGAAATTGAGCTAGGATTTAGATTTGAACAACTCTGTCAACGAACTTGATATCTAGAGAACAGTTATAAAATACTTCACCCAACTACAGTAGAAATAAAATATTTTTCAAGTATACATTTGTGATTTACCCAAAAATGTAATTCGTGATGATAAAATAAATCTAAATATATTTTAAAAAGATTTGGGAACTAAAACTGTGTTATTTGACCAAAATAAAAGTAAACTTGAAATCAATAGCAGAAAAATCTTGGATACATTCCAAATATTTAGAAGCTAAATGACACAATTCTAAATAACCAATGATTCAAAGATAAAATTAAAGATAAAGTATTTTGAATTAAATAAGTATAAAACATAGCATTTCAAAATGGGGACTCTTGATAAACTAGTGTTAGGAAAATTTAGACAGTACTCAATTCTATACCAGGAAAGAAGAAAGGTCTTCAATTAATGACTTCCACCTAAAGAGAGAAAGCTATTAACAAAAAAATAAGTATATAACAAAGATCAAAACAGAAATTGAAAAAAATAGAAAGAAAAGAGACAAATTTATTAAAACTAAAAGCTTACAGTTTGAGAAATCAGAAAATGATAAATAAGAAGAAAAGGAAAAAGCAACTCTAGTTAGGACTAACAAGGAGAAAAGAAGTTACCATATCAGTAAGGTGAGCGGGTGACATCACCAGGGTCTAGAGATACTCAAAGGATAACAAAGGATTGTTATAAACAACTTTGTCAATAAATCCCACAATTCAGATGATATAAAAAATAAGCAGTGCCAATTCTAAATATGATATGAGCCTAGCATTGCCCTGATACCAAAATCAGGAAAGGGTAGTGTAAGAAAACATTTTGCACTAACATCTTTAGTACAAAAGTCTAAACAAAATTTTGGCAAATATAATAAAACAGTATGTAAAAATGATAATACAATCGTACTAAGTGTATTGGTTTCATGACCGTTTGTTCAGGATTCATTTAACATTTAAAAATCAGTTTATGTTATCTACTATGCAATGAACCACAAAAGAAAACTTACATGTTAATTTAATAAAACCACAGAAAAAAATGTTTGACAAAATCTTATATTCATTTCTGATAGAAATGTTCAGCAAACTAGAAATGTAAGAAAATTTCCTCAACTTGATGAATGACATCTGTAGAAAACCCACAGCTAACCCTATAATAGTGACAGACTTAATACTTTCCTCTTGAGATCAAGAACAAAGAGAGCACTATCAAACAAATCACCAATCAAAAACAGCTCGTATGTCTGCTTCTATACTGAAGGTTGTAGGCAGTGAGATCAAGCAAAAAAAATAAATGAAAGATACTCACATGGGAAGAAATAAAACTCCCTTTATTCACAGAAATGATCATCTATGTAGACTATTAATTGGCATGTAGAAAAAAGTACTAC